TAGACCAAACGCTTCAAAATTCAACATAAAATAGCAAAATTATGTCCACTTTCAAAATGACGGGTGGCGGCCATCTTGGATTTGAGGCACAAAATGGCCACCAATTGCTTCCAAATGATCAAAAATGGGTTCCTTGTCCCTAATTTAGTCAGGTTTGATAATCTATACATGTTTCTAGGCCAAATATTAATGGAAATATGAAATATTATATATTTTGGCACCTAATTTGCATAATTTATGCTAATTAATGTATCGATAGAGGGCGTCTCTTTGGATAAAAAATTTTCATTTGGCCCAAGGAACATTTATGCCAAGTTAGACATTTGTACTACAAAATGCAGCGTTTGGCCATTTTTTGGTCCTTAACAAGCCTACTATCTATATATTTACAAAAAGAAAGAATGCTTTCAGTAAATGGCATCGAATAACATATAACATTGGGCGTAGGACAAAAGAAGACTTTGGATGGATATATAATGCTATTTAGTTTTTCTTTTTGCAATTCAGTCGGTACCGCGATGAACATATCTACATGGACGCCACACTTTCCCCAGAGATGACGGAAGATCTGACTATCCCAAGATTCCTTGGTTGCGACGCCATCATGAAAATGGTATCGTCTGCTGTACATTATTTCTTTTTTATGAAGGCTGGGTGAAGTTTGTAACATTGGTGGCCTGTTTTTATGAATTTTTTATCTTCTTGTTAGGATCGTCCGCAATACTGGGCATAGACATTATGATAATATCAAAACATGTCAGTTCTAGAAGTAATTGCTCAATTTTTTCCAGTTTCGACCTAATGAACAACTTGAATAAAAAAGCGAACCCCAAGGGTATTTTTTAGAAGAATAATGTTACAACCTGGGCAAATGGAACGTTTTATTAGTTGAAGGTTCATGTCAATTCAACGTATAGATCATTAAGGAAAAATAAGTATTACTGTATTACTGATGCATCTCTGAAGATCTACTTTACAGATGTCATAGGGCGTATTCCCAGAGCTTTTAGATCGAGATATCCCTGCGGGGAGTTTCACCAGATTACTGTCAGATAATCCGGCTTAAATGTCCGTCCCGCCTACTACAAGCTGTAAGGGGGTAATTAACTTTCGTGCCCGCTCGGCTGACAGCTAGGCCCTATTTAGCGTGAACCCCCAGGGAGTTAGGTCGATCTAAAGTAGATCGATCTAATCTCTGGGAATGGGGCCTTATATAATCCAAGGTTTTGGCCTCTAAGCCTTCTTCGGGGATTATTGAAAAAGGCCTAGAGGCCAAAACCTTGGATTATATATGACATCTGTAAAGTAGATCTTCAGAAATGCTATCAGTAATAATACTTATTAGTTGAAGGTTAAAACGAGTTGTGTAAAAATAAATGCATTAAGGATGCGGAGAGAGGGTGTGGCATGAACGTGGCTATCTTTTTTTACAGACCAAGATATACCGACATTGGGATATCTTTCTTAATTATAGGCACATATTAAGAATTTGAGACATTCTTGTTGATGCTCAAGGGGGCTTTCAGAAAATGTTGTCTGCACATGTGCATTTGTAATGGAGTTTTAGTTTTTAAGGTATAAAGATCAGGCTTAGAAATCCCATGAAACGCTATATCTCCTTACATAACTATTACGTAATAAGGTAACTATAAAGATTGAGAAGCTGTTGAAATAAGCGTTTTATTGATATGCAACATGTCTGTATTTCTTGGTCGGTTATTAAGAAGAAAACCACAACCCCCTCTCTGCATCCTTTATAGAGGAAACAACACAGTCGCAGTCAGCGGAGAGGAAAATATATAATCAGGAAATTTTTGTGGTGAACAGCTAAATGAGTGGTTTTCTATCGAAAACTGACAGCCCCAAGAAAATGCAGACAGAACTTCATTTTCCCTTTTGTTGCCTTTGCTATTTAAAAAATGAAAGAAAAAAACTTGTATTTGTTATCATTCGTCACAACTAACTGAAAGATAGGCAAACATACCTCAGGCGATATTCTGCAAACTTAAAGCGATTTAAAATATTAGGACAATAACTAAGCATGCTTTTTGTTAGTAATTTTATTAAAGTTTCTAATTACTGAAAGGGGTCCAAGATTAAGCCTCATTATCTATCTTTTATTTCACTCTTAGATGAAGCAGTTTGCACTATTCTTCAACGCCGGATGGTCCAGTACCTACATCCACGTGGACGCCACAGAGACGCTGTTTGCGCAAATCACGGGACAACGACAATGGATTCTGATACCGCCAACCCACGGGAAATACCTGCATACGGACGATTTTAACTATCACGCAGGTAATACTTTGGACATTAAAATGCAGAATTTTCCTTATGTTCTTAATTTCACAGCCCTTGAATTGCAGAAAATTTGTCATTTAAGAATTGAAATAGATGGGAAAACTCTCCCATTCGTATGCATGAAACCCTTCTCAATTTTCTAAATAAAAATGGAATTATATTTGCAAGGGTTCCCCTCTAAAATCTGGCGTTAGTTTTGAATAACCCTACATGTACTTTTCTTTGTCTATTTGTTTATTTTTCTGTCTGTGTCTAATTGCCTGACTGTCGATCTGATTGTGAATTCATTCATTCATTAATATGCAGGTCAATTTTGTTAACTCAATTTTAGCACATACTGACAAGAATATCACCCCCATAATTATTATACACCATTTGATATTCCAGGGATCTCTCCAGTCGAACCGGACGCCGTCGACCTCATCAAATTCCCAAATATTTCTAAAGTCGACATCTACAATATCACGCTGTATGAGGGGGATATTATCTACGTGCCCGAGGGGTGGTACCACCAAGTTCGCACCATGGGCGGTCCACCTAACATGGCGATGGCTATTTTTGTCAATTATCTACTTTGTTCGGAGGGAGGAGACACGCCAGATGGAGCAGAGGCGGCGACAACGGCGTGCATCGCACGGAGGGAGGCTACGCCCAAAGGTGGGTTGAAGGTCGGATAAAGATGTCATTAAACATACCCATCTACATGTCAACCAACAGTCATATAGGGATGGGAATGTTTGATCACTTTAGTGTTTGGCGCGAAATCTTCATTATGTGATCAGGGTCCTTAGATAATGGACCAAAACTGCTTTCAAACGTACAAGTAGTGTATGATTCCCGTAATTTAGTCTCTAAGCTAAGAGAAGCTCGGTTTAACATCCTAACTAGAGGCCTTGGAAACCTTACTTGGTATATCCACTAGATGTAGTAATCATCCTATTTGCAGTCTTGTTAAACCCAGGACACTGGTGTAAACAATACTACAATAGTGGTGAAAAACGTGAAGTAGTTTTTCCCATAACTACCAGAGTTTAGACTTGTTTTTTATGTACATGTATAGTGTGACTGCATTGAAAAAAAAAGCATCAATCTAATGAGGAAAGTTTGTTTAAATTTGGCAGAACCCTAGTTGCACATCCTTGTACTTTATTTCAGAAATCACTTGTAAGGAACGCATGGAAGATATGCCAATGCACGAATTTATCGCCCAATACAGTTATATCAACCCAGACGCGATTGATGTGGCGTTAGAATTCGAATCCCCAGACGGAAAATTGAGGACGTACAACAGCACACTCAAGAGCGGATTTGAAAGTGAGTACAGCATATATATATATATTCAAAATACTGCGTCAAAGACAAAATGTTTGCCTCAGATCATATGGATAATGTGACTTGCGTCAGCCGGGATCCATTGGGTGATCCACACTGACCCGATGGCTCCAGTTCGCCGTAAGGGTAGGGCTACTTGGTTTCAAATTCCAATGGGAAATTGCATTTGTATTTTCAGTGCCTTTGTTGGGGTTTGGCGTGAGGGGTCAACCGACTGAAAAGGCGAAAATATCCACCGCGCATGCGTTGCGACTGCAATACAGGTGAATGAAATCTTTTGATTAATTTTGTTATGATAGATTTTTGTCATTGAGAATATAATGTATAATATTTATCACTTAGGATATTTAGGGTTAGATTTGCACAAGTATGCACATTTTTATGGCAGTGGTAGGTCTAACGTATCTCTGTTATTGGATTTATAGCTGTTTTAAATTGTAAAAAATGTTAATTTACAAAATTAGTAATATATCAACAAAACAGATTTAAGAGCTTGGCGTGCAAACGTATGCACTTTATTTCCAACATTAAAAATTAACGTACATTGGACTTAAAATGTTTTCGGGGAATCACAAATTTCAAAATCGATTTCTTATTTCAGTCTCTTCGACACAGACCCAGATGATGAATCCGAGGAGATTCTAGGGACTATTTTAGCTTCCACTCCAGATGTCAAGCGAGAGGACGTTTTTATCGTCGTGAAAGTCCATCCAAGAAATTTAGGGAGGGAAAAAACTATCGATTCTGTTAAAAGATCTCTAACTAGACTGAAAACTGACTACATTGATTTGGTACTGATTAAAGCGCCCTCTTGTGATGGTATGAAATTCAAGTGCGAAGCAGACGATAACCGTGGCACTTGGAAAGAATCTTGGGAATCTTTGGAGGAACTGATTGAAGGCGGTAAAATTCGGTCCCTAGGCGTGAGCAACTTTAAGATGTCTCAGCTTCGAAAACTGATTGGTTTTGCTAAATTTCCCCTGTCCGTTGTACAAAGTAACTTTAACTTGTACAACAGGAAAACTAAACTGCGTCAGTTCTGCAAAGACAACGGCATCGCGTTTATGGCGCATGGATTGATGGGAGTTTTGGAGACTGAGAACGGCACACGCGAAAGCCCTCTACTGTCCCACCCTAAGGTGGACCTTGCAGCCAAGAAATACCGCACAACACCAGGAACAATACTGATACGATGGGCCTTAAGCCAGAATGTGACGGTCACTCCACCGTCGACCAATCTGGATCACATTGCATTTAACAGACACGCAATAGTCTTAGATATAGCAGATTCGCCCTGGGCTATTGATATGCTTACTAAAAACTTCCCTCATGTCGATTAAGCAGAGGTGGTTGCGTCATTGCACAGAGATGAGCTTATGGCACAGGTCATTTGGCGGTCCCGGATAACCATATTTCTGTGGTATTTATTCTCATTCTAGAGGGACGTGCTCAATACGCCATCGCACAAAAGTATATTTGCAGCTACTTTTCAAATTATAGAGCTTTAGGCATTCATAATTTTAATATATAATTTGGACTTGATAAAAAAAGTCGAACTTTAAGCATTCTTTTCAGATGAGATTGATAAGAGCTTCGTTGCAAAATGGAACATGTTCCAACTGCCCTTAAAGTTAACGAAAGAAAAAAACGGTTCGTACGAAAAATAAACACGCTATTCAGACATAATGCATATAAAAAGAAACATTAGCAACTTAGCTTGAAAAGTTTTTATTGTTTCATTCGCGTTGCACATACACGCATTTTTAAATTTTGCTTTAAAAGGCTTCTTTGCTGGATTCTTTAAAAGCCGTAATCTGAAAGGTCATTAATCGGAAATTTCCTTAATCTGTGGTCCAAATGATTAACGCATTTCATTCATGTATTTCTATTTTCAATAAACAGATAAGATTGAAAAGCTATCCTTGCTATTCACATCGCTTACTTTCTGTTGTGTTTTCTATAAAAGTGCAAAATTGGTAAAAAGAACGGAGTTTGAAAGCGTTAAGAATACTTTTTTCATCATGACTTGTATCAACTTCAGTCTTTTCATACATTAACAACAAAGTATCATGATATATTTCATACTTCAATGGCTGAAATAAATTCGTTTCTTAGGTCTTTTTAACATCGAAAGATATGGGCCCCCTACTGCAGCGATACAGCCTGTACCGGCACATTTTACTAATCTTTTTCTGTTGTGAGCCTCTCTATTGGATCCTGATTTTTGTGGTCAATATCTTAAGCCAGTCTCGAGAATTAAATATTCTAAGCATTAAATTGCTGAACAGTTGATACGTAATACTATAAGCACTCACCGATTGCTAAGGTATTGGGCCTTAAAAACGAAATTGCCTTTTCGAGCCGCGGATATTTGATTAACAACGCCTAATTTACGTCTTAACCTGAGATTTCATTGTGCTCATATAAAAACGGTACAAAGTAACACTGACAGCAGATTTGGACGAATACTGAGTTTCCAGCGGTGGTGTTTAAGGGACCATTCCCGTAACCCTATTGTACTAGCAGAATCGATTATCTCCGATGGGATTCTCGCTAAACTGCATTCAGTTTAATCGTGGACGAAAGTTAATTACCCACCTAGCAGCTTCAGTGGGCGTGACAGAAATTTAAGTCGCTTAAACTAAATGCAATTTAGCGAGGATCCCCTCGGAGTTAGATCGATCCTGCTAGTAGTACAATAGGTTTATGGTAACCTTGTCTAATCCAATGCCCATTCGGGCCTCATCCGAATCTCTCATTCCAAAAAGGCTCCAGCTATGGAAGTTCTTTTGGAACTCAAGTGAAACGAGGGGGTTCTTGACAACTGAGGCCTTTAAGAGACTCAGAAGAGTGTGCATTCAAGGAGGGGTTTCTGCTCTCTTTTCGGAATCGAGAAAAGACTGTTGAAAGCCTCAAATAGTATGTTTACATTCATAACATTAAATCGCAGATTTAGAGGTTATTTCGGCGTTCGAATCATAAACTCAAAACTCGAAATCGCAAACGGAATTTATTGTTTACAAGGCCTGGTAGGCCTATATATCAATGACAAAACAATTGAAGTCGATTTATTGAATATTAATCCATATGGCGGTAATTTTTGGATATTTTTTTTTTAGATTCAAAATGGATTAAACAGTGAATACTATAGGGAAGTATAGAAAGCGCGATCAGCATATTTTTCAATGATATGTAGTTTATATTGATTAGTCAGAAGACAACAACAATATATGTACACGCTTACTGTTCGGTGTATTTGCAGTACAAAATGCTTCCGTGGAGTTATGTTGGCAGTCTGTGAATGGGAATTAAATTTCATTTTGAATTTATAAATCAATAACACCATCTCTTTTTTTAAAACTAAAACATTGTGTTCAGGCACTATAAAAACACAGAACAGAACATGTTTATGGTATCAAAGTGATTGTTTTGATTTATCCAGTTATATTGTAGTAAGATCATGAGAAAAAAATGAAATTAGATACTGGATCTTACGTTGAAACGGAGATCACGACGTTCCAACCTTATCAAAAGACCTTCAGTTGAGCTGATTTGGCGTTGCCATCGGTGTCACGTGGTGACAGTCTCAGTTCAGCCGATGAAGGCTCAGTCTATGCTGTAGTGCGGTCGAAACGTCGTGATCTCCATTCCAACGTAAGATCCAGCATTAGTTTAATTTTGTCATTATCTATATATATATAATTGTGCGTTAAAACGATCAAATTGCTAGCTACTATATTAGTATTGATTTTACTAGGCTAGTGTGTTGATATGACCACCTGAGGGAAACCGCAGTAGAGGTGAACATCTATAAGATATAAATACTTCTAAAGATTACGTTTGAATTTGCAGTATGTTTGTTTATTAAAGGTTAAGAATGTATTGATGACTCTATATAGAGACGGACTGTACACGCCGGAAGTATCTCAGAGTTGCCTGCGCTTTGTGTGCATGAGCAGAATGGATGCTTCACGCTCCGAGCGGTACACGCCACACCGGCACGAACGCATTTACCCGCAGAACGCACCGAGTGTCTTTGAAAAGGAAATAAGATGCATTATTTCACACTTCGGCAATCCTGTCTTTTGATGAATAAATGGGCACAGTCCTTCACTCAAAGTCCTTTTCAGAAACAGCGGTGTGGAACGTCATATAAACTTGTACTTTCCAGAATAACAAACGTACATGTAACTAGAGCATGCTTGCTATACTCTCAGTCCTTCATGCAGCTAAGGCGGAACAGTTAACACTATGGGCACTAGAAAGACGTTCTACGTGGGGACTCTCCCCGTCCTTCTGGCCCTGGTTTTGGGGTACTTCAGGCCCGATCTGACTCAGGTTCTCTCTGGTATCCACAGCATCTGGACCGATGGAGACGCCGGAGATGCGACCCAGACGCCACCAAAGGGTCACATGCAGAAGTTTGGACTTCACGTGGACAAGGAAAAGGAGCTGATCGTGATGGATCATTTCCCGAGTCCAGAAGATTTTTACAGAGACCACATGCGGCAGTCAGTCCCCCTCGTGGTCCGAGGGTCGCTGAAACACTGGCCGGCCGTGGAGAAATGGAAGAATGAAGATTATTTACGAGAGAAATTTGGTCACGAAGATTTTGTTGTTATGTGGAATAATATCACTGACCACAGACACAAGTCGGCCATGATGATGAGTATGAATGAATTTTTGGAGTGAGTCGCAAATATTTCTGTGTAAAGAGCATTTTATCTGTTTGGGGTAATTTTTCTATGAATATAGGACTTCAATCACGGACATAAGCATTCCTTTCTGGCTTGATATAGCGTGCATTTAATATGTTAATCCAACCTCATCTATTCATAATAGTGGTTAATTAGAGCCCATATCGACAAGCTTACACCTGTTCCTTTATGGAATTTTGATTGTTTTGGTTGTTTTGTTAATCAACGCATGGTTTATAGTAATTTCACAGTCCATCTCCCGATCTATTTGAACAGAAACTTCCCAGCTCACGACACGAGTTCGTAACGAGTAACTCACAACACCATTTAAGAGGCTGATGCGCTCCTTCATTCAAACATGAATAAAAATCCGTTGAATGATGTTATTCAAGAGAACGTCAGCCCACTAAAAGCGTTTATGCATTATGCTGCTTACAGGGCGAGGATTTTTTTTTGTCAGTTCATGCAGTTCATGAAAAGTCATAATATCATTGTTGAGTTTTGACTTCAGCCACACTTGACGCACTTAGCTGTTGTCTCTCTCCTATCGATAATGTCGCGTGCATTAGTGTGAATGTTTGCGTGAAGCACATTTGTTTATCCGCACGTGCATGTTATGCACGCGAATACACGCTTTAATAGAAACACACAGGAAGAACTCTAATACACACCTTTGTAAATAGACAGCCTTGCGTGTACACGGTCATGTATGTGCGCGTGTGTACATGTATGTTGTATGTGGGTGACTATGTTGAGAGAGAGAGAGGGGGAGATTCTCCTTCAATACTTTGGCTTGAGTATTTTGCTCGAAAAGGGATTGAGACTGCAGATGGAGACTTTCACAAAATGTGACTGATTGATTGCTTCAGATATCTTTTCGTATATGGGTCTGGTTGTGATCGAGGAAGGGGAGAGAGGTACTGCATTTTATTAAAATTCCATCATGAGGAAAGCACCGTCCTTCATTCAAAGATAAGTACTTCAAGATAAGTGACTAGATTTTTGACGGTGAAAAATTCAAGTAAACACACAGATTGTAAATTGGATGTCTTGTCGATGAAAAAATTAATATTTATTTATTATTTTCAAACCTTCATTTTAGCCAGTACCGCGATAAGCATATATACCTGGATGGCTTCGTGTCTCCGGCAATGTCCAAAGATCTGACTATCCCAAAATTCCTTGGTTGCGACGCCATAATTAAAAGGGTATCGTTTGATAAATGTTATTTTTGGTGTATTGTTGAAAATTTGATTGGCGTAGTAATTTTCCTTGTTTAATGAATTAAACTTGTCTTGTTGGAATCTTGGAATCAACATTAGTTTTCAATATCTGTTCAGTTTAATTTCTTTGTCTTATTTTAAGTGCCCTTACACGTTATTTACATTCGTATTTGGTAATTTCTAGAGGGTAAACCATCTACGCAAGCCCGTAGCCAGGGGGGTTCGGAGGATTCGAAAGAACCACGCTTTTTGCTTGGTTTTATTTAGGATTTTATGGTAAAAGGTCCACTTTTTCAGAAAACGAACCCCCCTTCTGAAATTGCTGGCTACGGTATATCAGCGCATTATATTTTTCTATTATAAATTTTATCAATAACAGAAACGTCCAAATTTATTTCAATGTGGTGTTATGATTCAACAATTTTGTACAGAATAAATCGGTACACTGAACAATACTGACCAAAACCAATGCATTTCAATTTTCCCCAGGCGACACAGTTTTCGCTGTTATTCAACGCTGCCTGGTCTAGCACATTCGTCCACGTAGACGGAACAGAAAACATGTTTACTCAAATCACGGGACAACGGCAGTGGATCCTGATACCGCCGACCCACGGGAAATACCTGCACGTGGACGATTTTAACTATCACAGAGGTAATGTTAACTTGAGGAAGTGGGAGCCGAGACACAGGAAAGTGGGATCTCTGTTGATATTATATAAACATATATAACAGGGCCACAGCCAGGGATTTGATGGATCAGTATGAAAAATTAAAATAATGGAAGGATCTTTGGGGCTTGTTTCTGGAGTTTAGAGTTTGAATACATTTGATATTTGCCCAGGCTTGTTATAGATAAATTTCAAAGTTAAGTTATTTTGAATTGAAAATAGCACAAATGCGTTTTCTTTCTATCTAGGAAAGCGGTTCTTTAGACACCAGAGAACCAGTCACCAGGTTATAAGACGATAAACTAATCAGATTTTACGATCAATTTTTCTTTTTTTGTAAATTAAGCAATACGTGCTATTAATACTTCATTTGATTTTGGGCCAGGCAGACAGCGTGGATGACTTCTGAATATATAGAGATACGCCTACATCGGTAACTTTATCATTGCCTTGAAGCATCATCAATTATCTGGGAAAACAGTATATACTGCATTCATCAGTTAGTGTAATTCTGACGGATTTTTTTGTCCTCCATGATAGCGGTGTTATTTTTCGCATCCATGTATTCATACACGTATGTATTCCTCGCTGTTTCTTTTAAAGTCGTCTCTCATTCCATGCAATATTCCAGGGATCTCTCCAGTTGAACCGGAAGCCGTGGACCTCATCAAATTCCCCAATGTTTCCAAAGTCGACATCTACAATATCACGCTGTATGAGGGGGATATTATCTACGTGCCCGAGGGGTGGTACCACCAAGTTCGCACCATGGGCGGTCCACCTAACATAGCTGTGACGATCTTTATGGACTACATCAGTTGTATGGAGAAAGGATACCCCGTCGATAAAACACAGGAAATGTTAACAGAGATGTGCATTGCAATGAGAGAGGCCACACCAAAAGGTAAGTGATACAATGTAGATAAATAAATAAACAAATACAAGCATCGGTATAATCATAATCATAACTATAGAAAAGCACTCCGAGAGCGCAGACCTCCGCCAAGGCAACAAAGTCTCTACCCAATGCCGTTTCACACCTAAACTTTCATTCTATAATGATGTAGTTTTTTTATTTTTTATTATTGATTTTTTATTGATTATTGATTATTGATTGGTTATTGATCCGGATCACCACCAAAAACCAATCATCTGTTCCAATAGTTCCTGAAAATTTCATCAAAATCGGTCCATAACTTTTTGAGTTATGTTGCTGACAGATAGACAGACAGACAGACAGACAGACAGACAGACAGACAGACAAACATGGTTGAAAACATGCGGAGGTAATAATAATAATAATAATAATAATAATAACGCCTACATCTGATTCGGCCTTTCTCATTAACTTATAGGTTCTTACAACTTCTGTCATCTTTATCATTGAATTACACATAAACAACCTTGTTTTCCCTCAGAAATTACCTGCCAAGAACGCATGGAAGATATGCCAATGCAAGAGTTCATCGAAAAATATGGTTATCTTAATCCAAAAGTCTTGAATTTGGTGCACGACTTCGAGACAGCAGACAGGCTTTATAACTTCTTTTCGACCACACTCAAAAGTGGCTATGCCAGTGAGTATTAGTCCTGTGTTAAGTCTACGTAACAGATGACATACCTATAATGACTGTTATGTGTCTTTAATAATCAGGTGACGAAACTCAATATAAAAAGAGTGTAAATCGTTATGAAAAGCTTTTTGGCAGGAATACCGGTGACGCTTCAATTACAATCAAATGGACACTCTAATTAGATAAAAGTTGGATGTACAATTTGACTTTAATCCCTCTCTCTCTCTCTCTCTCTCTCTCTCTCTCTCTCTCTCTCTCTCTCTCTCTCTCGTCCAAAAGCTGTCAATTAAACATTTACAATATACAGTAAGGTAGACAAATTTTTATTAATATTCTAGTGCCGTCACTTGGATTTGGATTGAGCGGCCAACCGGTTGATAAGGCTAAACCAGCTGCTTCACACGCTCTGCGAATGGGCTACAGGTAAAAGGGGGGGGGGGTACAGGTAAAAGGTGGGGGGTTAGCTTTTTTAAAATCCATTTAAATCCAGGGCCGTAGCCTGAACAAACTGCCAGGGGGGGGGGCAGTAAACAGACACGAGGGGGCGAAGCCACCAAGGGGGGGGGTGTCCCCCTCCCACGGTGTGGAAAATTTTTAAAAACTGTATGTATAATACTGCATTCTGGTGCATTTTAACTGTTATTTATTGCTCAATCAGAAGTCAGAAATTGCGATTATTTTTTTTGCACCTCAAATCCCAGGGGAGGCAGCTGCCCCCCTGCTCCCCCGGAGGCTACGGCCCTGAAATCCATTTGACAACCAGTGAATATCAAAGTAATCACATAGGCCTATACCGTAGGTAATCTATGCGTTAGAGCACCCTAATGGAACTATTCAGTAGGAAATGAAAGGTGCCTTGTGTTACTGGCCTCTTTTTAATGCCGAGACACGATATTGCGAAGTCTTGAGTAGTGAACCATTAATAGATTTAAAGATAATTTCTGACATGATGACATAGTTAAAATCGTATTTAAATGATCCAAATGACATAGAGTTACTCGAATATTCTGACAAAATGCTTTAAAAAATCATCCCTTAATATATTTAATATGAAAGATGAACGCTTTGTTATTGCTCGGTGTTATTGATTCACATGTATTTTTTACCACTGCAAAACTAAAATTATTTTACAGACTCTTTGACACGGACCCAGATGATGAATCCGAGGAGATTCTAGGGACTATTTTAGCTTCCACTCCAGATGTCAAGCGAGAGGATGTTTTTATCGTCGTGAAAGTCCATCCAAGAAATTTAGGGAGAGAAAAAACTATCGCTTCTGTTCAAAGATCTCTAACTAGACTGAAAACCGACTACATTGATTTAGTACTGATTAAAGCGCCCTCTTGTGATGGTATGAAATTCAAGTGCGAAGCAAACGATAACCGTGGCACTTGGAAGGAATCTTGGGAAGCTTTGGAGGAACTGAACGAAGGTGGTAAAATTCGGTCTCTAGGCGTGAGCAACTTTAAGATGTCTGAGCTTCGAAGATTGATTGGTTTTGCTAAAGTTCCTCTCTCCGTTGTACAAAATAATTTCAACTTGCACAACAGGAAAACTAAACTGCGTCAGTTCTGCAAAGACAACGGCATCACGTTCATGGCGCATGGGTTGATGGGGGTTTTGGAAACTGAGAACGGTACACGAGAAAGCCCTCTATTAAGCCACAAAATGTTGGACCTTGCAGCTAGAAAATACCGCACAACCCCTGGAACAATAATGATACGATGGGCTTTAAACCAGAATGTGACGGTCACTCCAACGTCGACCAATCTTAACCATATCGCATTTAACAAGTATGCGCCACAATTGGATGTTGGAGAATCTCCATGGGCCATGAAAATGCTGACTGATTTCTTTCCCCATGTCAACTAAGAAGAGATTGTGATGATTATCTATGCATTTCTAAAAAGCATAAGGCCAAATTATCACTCCATAGGAAAGATCCCGTTTTAGTTCTTTCCCTAATTGGCCAATAATTGCTAAAATATATGTACTATATTCGAGTGGAATAAGAATACTTATTTCTAAAGTCAGCCCCATCTATGGTTATTATTGCCATCTAGGCATATTATCATATTTCGACATATCCTTTCTAGCTTATTTGATCTTTGGACACACACCCACACACACCCACACACACACACACTCTTTCGTAAGTAATAAAATAGTTCTGGGGTTAAAACGCAATTTATCAAAATTAATCTTTGTGACCTTCTGGTAATACAGGCGATATTGCTTTTGATGATTGTATCATACCGAGTTTACTAGTGAAGTACAGGTAAAGCCAAATTGACGTAGTGTCAGCAGCTAAGGCTTTCAAAAATATTTTTTCACGAACATACATGTACGTGCAAAGACAATCTGGACAGCTGGGATGAGCACGCACTGACGGTGGGACCGGTTTCTTTACTTTGAATACTGTGACAGTATGATGGGGGGAATTATAAATAAAATAATGTTTGAAAACAATGTGAATGTAAAACTGACTAAATCTGATGAAAACGAATATATAAATATAGATATATTTACTGCTCCCATTTCTACTTGTTCTGCTTCACCGGTTGTCTCTATTGTCCCTGTCCCGCTCCCGTTCTTTTTCAAAAGCGTGGCCTTACTTGAAGAAATTCCGGAATGAATGCATAGTGGAACTTCTTTAATAGAAAAAAAAGATTTTCGAAAAAGAGAAAGAAGTATTATATTACCTAAGGGTAAATGCTTTCAAATAACAGGAACAAACTAGACCGTTACAGATGTATTCTTGAAAGAGTCTCTTGTGACAGGGAAAAGAATAAAGTCATGTGATGCAGATGAATGTAATAAAGAACAATTTTCAATAATTAATTTTAACAGTACTTACTATTTTGAAAAGTTTTAAAACTTTATAAAAATTAAGTTTTATTTACTGTCATTCCTTATATATGCCGATAATTGGAATGTACGCACCAGTGATAAGACTGAAAAAAACTAGGCAACTTTGTAGGAGAGAAATTACTGAACGATCGAGCGATGTGAGGTACGCACGCAACTTCCCACGCACGGCAAACAACACGGTCCGGAAAAAATTACAAATAAGATAAAATAATGGTACTGAGCTATAGAAATGGGAATTTTCCTCATTTAACCACAAGGGATGGATTAAGACGACCAAAACCTCAGATGGGGTATTTTTTGTCTCTGCGTCTGCTTGTCCCTATCACAATTGACGTTTGTCAATATAACCTGTCAATCAAACTGTTATTACTTGACGGGATCTGTCAAAACTGAATGATTTGATTGGCACGTTGTCAATCAAATGGTGATGGAAGCTGGAACTTTGCATGTTCGACAACTGCAGTTATCAACTGCGTAATGATTGTGATTGACGTTTATTTATAAAACTGTCAGTCAAAGTCTTTCGACAGCTTCCGTCAAAATTAAAGCAAAGTACATTTTCCATCCAGCTCCATTAAGTCTCAATTCCTACCAGTCCTGATAGGTACGTCTCGACAGATACGTCTGGACAGATAACGGGACCCGATACTTCTACATGTACGTCCCCATACCTATAAACCCATGTACCGATAAATGCACGTGCCGATAGAATAACTAGACTAGAGTCTGCTTTTGAAAATGACACGTATCTTATGGTGGTACCCTATTTATTTTTAATCAATTAAAATTATTTCTTGTAATTAAACATCAGTGACCATTACCTGAAGGCCATGGGGAAGACAATTTTTTTATTTACTATGTTTTACCCTCAATAACTATTTTTATAAATAAATATATAATAACTTCGCTATGATATTTATTATAAAAAGCATTATATTTACCCCCGTGACCTTGAATTTTGATACGGATTACTGTACAAACATTGACAGCGTTGCTAGCTCTCTATGTTACTTTATTCTTCAGTAAGACTTGTGTGACAAATAAACATACGCCCTAGATATATAATAAGCTCAATTAAAACATGTTATTTGATAGTATAAATTTCGAAAGTTCCCTGTCACAAAATGCGTCCTTACTCTGAAATACTGGTAGAGACTGATAACAGACGTCTTGACTGGTAGTTTTTAAATTAAAATTTGGCGCATGGGGGGGGGGGTACTTTGCAAAAGTAATCTTCTAAGAGAAGGTAGTTGTCGCTGCAGTATTGTTCGTACGCTACATGTAGTTTTCTCAGCCCCATACGAGACTCTCATTGGGTATTTTCCTTACCCTGGAAAGCCACTATTTACTTCCCAAGATTCGTGAAACATCCATTCTATTTAGCGTCATTCCTGTAACTCGCACATGCAGCTTTTTACTCTCCGTTATTCGTGAAAGAAAGTCGTTATACCCGGTGATTCGTGATCTTTGACGCGCATTTTAAGTGAAATATAAATAAAGTTTTATTTACTGTGATTTTTGAATTGATGATTTTATTTCCCGTGAATTGTGATCACCCCCCCCCCCCTCCCAATGGTACCCTATTATACGGCAGCTGGGCTGTATCCTCCCCAGGGAGGTGAGAACATTTACAACTAGTCTGAGTCAGTATTAGTTTTTTTATGTACTTTATTAAACACATCTGTTAAGTCAATCCTAGCTGTGACAGCTCCAGTTAAATAAGCTGTACTCACGCTGAACGCTGCCACTTATTTTAACGTTTAACATACAAATCGGGTAAACAAAAACCGCATCTTGTCTTCTCTAACACAACCGGTACAGGTGATTTTTTTTTTGGGGGGGGGGGGGAGGTGAAACATAGCCAAATAATTTGATATCAAACCTAATGGTTGATAAGATGTTATTATTTTTGCCATTATGATGGTAGAAAGCCTAAATAACCATCCCGGACTAGGACCCATTGTGCTATGTCAAATTACAAAAACAAGTTTAAATCGAAACTTGCGTACGAAAAGCGGGTGACCTGTACATTGTTATGTAATACAGGTGAGCATTTCGGTGAGAGGTGTTCAGATAGGACCAAGGTCAGTAGAAGATGGAGAAGACAGAGGTTCATGGTACGTTGCTGCAATTTTCACATGCAGGCCAAAATGTAGCACAGAAAATGACAGGAAGATGCCGTAGTATTGTATAGGTGATATAAGATAACGCTGTGTATTTTGTGTAGACGACGTTTGCCCAAATGATGCGTTTCGCACATTTTAGTCCTTATGACTGTGGGAACATTGCACTTATGTCCAATACATACTCCATTAAAATTTCAAAATCAGCTCAAGGTTTTAAGGCTTTGTTTTCTGTAATTTCAGAGAAGGAACGCACTTGCCAATCAGGAAGTGAGGGGCTTATTGCAGCTGTCCAAAGGTCTGAACAAGTCCTCAACAAGTAAGACCACTGGGCAGATATCTACTTTCTCCTAATTGTTTTATTGGCGAGGTCACTGGCCAGTTTTCAAAGTATCCAAAATATATTGTTTATGAAAGCAAACTTCAAACAAATAAATGCACATTCATCAATAAGATGTTGAACTATTGTGTCACTATATTCCTGGAGACGACGGGACCAGGTTGGGGAGTTGAGGCGTGGGTGGGGAGGTGGACTGGGCTACAGTGTCCCTCCCTTAGTTTAAGAGGTATTCCTTCTCCAAAACAAATAAACAAATCAAAACAGTAACAAGAACATATCAAAAGCGCAAAAAAAAAAATTGTACATGGCACGAAACTAGACGAAATACAGCTAATGTATCCTAGTTCACTCGCCCCCTCCCACTGAAAATCCTGGCTTGGTAAGTGAAAACGTGCCTAGATGAGTTTTTTTTAGATCCTGTCAATTTTATACAAATTGGGCCCATCTGCCAAATGTTTTCATTCACTGGCTTTCATTGAATAATTTCCGTAATCCGGGCACCTGGTCCTTTCATATCGCATCTTACATATGAATGCAAAGTTGTCACTAAACGGTGTGCACAGGGTAGAAAAGAACAGGAATGGCACAATAGTGTTTTGTTAACATAATCGCATTTATTCCAAAATAGCATGCTGTAAAAATATGCAAATACTGCTTCATCAAACCGTGTCGTGAATGTTATTTTCTTTGTTTATTTCAGTGGCTCCGAACTGCTGTTTACCGGGTAATTGGATGCATCGCCGATCAAAGACATCAGATTCATGTTGGACATCGCTCGCGCCCGGATTGTCTCGCTTGTTGAAGTTTGTCTTGCAGGGTTGACATTTGATATGTAATCTTTCAAATTTGAAATGTAATCTTTGCCTTGAATAATAATATTTTGCATAAAACGTGTATCAAATTAATTGTTGCAGCATTTAATTGTTGATCAGAGAAAAAGAAAGAAATGGTTGGCGTCGACCCTGCATATTGCTGGTTATATATTATAATTTTTTCTAAATCGTAGTACTGTACTCCATCCGCTCATATTGTTTCAAGGTATTTTATTTATTGTATATATTTCTTATTGTGTCAGGAGGAGGAACCCATCAGTTCTCAAACAAAAATACGCCACTTTTTGGAGTTCACTCGTAACAAACTAATTTTAATGCAAAAAGTATTTTGCTGAAGAGATGGATGAAAACGAAAATGATAGTTATCAATTATTATAATTATAAGGCGATTTTTAGGTAGAGTACTGTGCCAGCACTATTGATTTTCTAGTTGTAAGTAATTTTTTCTGTGGGCAAATCTTCAGTTAGCCACTTAGCTGCGCATTTGAAGATATTTTAAATATTTGTTTTGAATTGAATTGAATTCTGAGAAATTCCGAGAAGAAAAATATCTCAACTTTATTACATGAAACTTTCGAGAGACTAACGGTTACATATATTGACTGTTAAGTTTGAAAAAAGAACAAGTTGTTAATTTAAAATAACTTACAAACTGTTCTTCAAGTTATAATGCTTTGGAAATCACAGCGTTATATGATAAAATTTGTCCACGTGATTGCAGAATTGCCCATGTATAAGAAACGATCCTTTTTTAAAGTGTGGATATAGGTTTGTGACGCATGTTAAGAATGAACTTACTTTGGTTTTGGTGTTTTGATATTGTGTCTGGTCAGTGACAGATACACATTTACTGTGCTGGGAGGGTTTAAAACAATGTTAAGAAAATGAAACCAGGAGAAGAATAGATTTTCTCGAAATTACTGCGCATTCGTTATTGCAGTAGGGGAATATATGTTACCCACGTGATACAAATTGTCCCTTCTTAGGGCCACCAAAATTTATCAGTATTTTATTAATCAATATTTCTTTGGTTGTGATGAAGGGGTCATTGAGAGGAAAAGGTCTGATAAGATGCAAGTCCAGCACGTCCTGTTGGGGTATTTTTTGCTAAGTGTTTCTTGATCACTGAGCACCGGAGACCATAGTAAGGGTATTAGCATTTACGAATTAATGAATCTTAAGTCACCGTTTTTTCGTAATCTTTTCAGTTTTGTTTGTATATTTTTCTTAAATTGTTATGACCAGAATAAGCTTGTAAATTAACCATGTTTTTTATGCCGTTCCTGATTCGCATGTGTGCAAATTTTAGTTTTCGCTCAAAGTCGTGTCACAAATCTACCAATATTAGGATAAAATGAAATGAAAACAAAATGATGTAAAACACTCGATTCTTAAAAATGACTATTTTTGTCTACCTTTTTCTGTGCGAGAATCAGCACGACGGCATAGAACAAGGTGTGCGTGAGTGCGAGTGCACGTGAGGGGAAGACGCCCATGTGAGATTACAGGCGTTTTGGAATTTTGATTTCGTTCACACCACTGAAATTGGACACTGCTCCTCGATGGAATTAGTAATCAACTATTAAAGTCAACTTCGAACAAAAGTTGATAAGTATGATATGGTTGGACTTTCAATTTATCTACCAGTTCTGGTCAATTTTTTTAATGAATTTTGTTTTGGTAAGCATTGTCGAAATTCTCTTTTATATAAATAAAAAGAATTCGTTGTTTCAGCAGCAATTTCCAAAGTGCATAAAATACTTTTTATGTATGAAGTAGACTTCTTGTATTTTTTTGTTAAAGCATAATTTATAGATTTTTTTTTAGAAATTTGACGCTTTTATAAAGATTGCTATCAATGTAGAAAAATGTAATTTCATGTATTCTGTTTTGTATGAAACTATGTTGAAATTACTTGGACTTTGTTGAAACAATAAATAATGAAAATAATGTACAGAAACTTGTATGTTGAATTCCATTTCATTATTCACCTGTTCCCTTTAGCTCGATTTGAACTACTACATGTAACTCCACTAGCTTCTTGTGAAATGTGGGATCCTCTTATATTGGTAGTTTACCTTACTTATTTGAATTTTTTGCAAAAGGCAATTTGCTGGGACCCAGGAGCACCAGGATTCGAACTTGGGACTTGTTGAGTCGGAGGCAAGCGCGTTACCTACTCCTCTAAGTGTTCTCACCCACCCTCCTCGGGAAAACTTTCCTCTTATAGTAACCAAAGGGAAAATTCTGTAAAGCCCCTTGAAAAGTATTCAATGATTTCCAAGTACCCGAACCAGGAAACGACCCAAACCCGAGGGGTGCCACTGAATCAATGAAGTTCTTGTAGTTACCAAAGTAAAATTCTTTTGAAAAATCCCAATTTATTAAAAAAAATTAGAAACGTAAGCCAAGGTCGAAGCCCAGCCTCAGGTTGCCGCTGAGCAATGCAACCGTCAAAGAAACAACTAAGACATTTTGTATACTTGGAAAGTCTTTATTCACTGCCCAACAACAACTTATTAATTATATTTAAGCATTTTAATGTAAAACTACAAAGTTAAACACTTAAATCACTACTTAATCACTTTGAATATCCGTAAGACATGCATGTAACAGACAAAGTTATATCTGTTGATTTAAAGGTGTAACATATACAACAAATGTATTACATTTCACCAATAAACGGTCAACTTAACTACTCGTTTATGGTTTGGTGTTATATATATATCTACAAGCATTTCAAAAAAAAAATTCAGAACAAATTTGAGAAACTGACAGTAATTAAAGAGATATAAAGCAGTTCATCAAATATCACACAGAATGTGTGCGTCACTGACTAATAAGATCAATAACTTGTGGCTATTTCTATAATTACATGATTTATTTGATTTATTACGACAGTATAAAACGTGGAAAAAGAAACATTTCATGAAAATCGCTGTCGGGAAAAAATATCTGTAAATTTTGTATCTTCCAAATGATCTTTCTAAACACACACCTTTGCCTTATGAAAAAAACTGCAAAATTGAGCCAATTAAGCTTTTCTGGACGATCAAAAGTTTCCATATTTCTGCATATTTTATTCACACGACAGCGTAACGCCAAATCACAACTCGTTACCATACTGCTACTTTCGCCCCAAAAAGTTCGGAAACATCGTTATTTTGAATAGTTATAAAATAATCATTATTAGTTACGGTAAATATTTTAACCAAATATTGATGGATAATAAACCCACCATTTGTTAATCTTTATTTACACAGAAGATTTTCCCAACACATTACATATCTTTTTGATTATTGAAAAACAATTTCACGTTTCCGAACTTTCTTGTTCGCGTGTATCATAACCTACACTCTCCCAGGGCCGCTGGTTTCATGTGCACTTTTCTCTTTCATGTAAAAATTAACTAGAGACATATCTGTGAAAATGTGTATCTAGTGAAAAATCAATCTGTGGCCCTGGCAGAGGGTAATCATTATTGTAATACCATTTAACAAAGGCCACGGCGGCAAACTTGAAGTCTTACGAGAATAGAGCACTTTAAAAGGCATAAGGGGAAGATATCTTTACTAAAATAAACCAAACCTGTATCTGATGACCACGCAGTCTTAAACATGCCATGTTTCTAGTAACCAATGCTTTATTTTAAAGGTATCGACAGAACGATTAACATATGTTTGAAACAGTATTTTGCCCTATCAGTTCGCCCCCTATGCCTTGAAGGGTTGACATCGTTGGCCAGTGAAGCCACAATTTTTAAAGCTCCCGTCATACAAAAATCTGTACAGTGTAGCTATAATTCAACTTATATATTCAACGGACTGAAATAGTACAACTGGACTAGTGAAATCGTGCCGAAATTAGAAATGGAAGTGTAATACTTATACTGTGCACCTACTGAGTGTTATGCTCTTTATTTCGACCACCAACCGCCTACTACAAATATTTACATGTCAGTAAATAGCAATTTAAATGGGAGATTCCACAGCATTTCCCCCTTTTTTGTCTGCTTCTTGTAAATATTCTTCTGGTACGTCTTCAACTGCTGATACTTTTTCTACCAACGAAGTTCGAAACAGTTTTCATTTCCATAGGACGTGATAAGGTGAAGTTATGGAGGAAGCAAAAAGCTATGGGGGAAACACTGGGGAATGGCCAAGCTATTTTTATGCATGCACGCGTCACAGTATTTCTTATAAAATAAACAACAAATAAGTGAACATTAAATCCCTAACACTGATACACTGAAACATTATACTAAATAGGTCGCAACATAAATATTGGTATACTTAGTTTCCAGACCGCCTTGCGTCCACTCACTGATCACGGAGGGTGTAACAACTCTTCCCAGATAGTAGGTTCAATTTATGGGGGAGGGGCTAAAGCTTTTCTGTCCAACCCTCATCCTAATCTGACAAGCAAAACTTGATTAACAATTTACTAAAATCAAAATGCATATACATATATATATATATATATATATATATATATATATATAGTGCATTTTGTTGAATATATTTCAAAAACAAACCAGAAAAAAACACCCAAAATGAAATAATATTATGTAGGTCACTGGCTATTCTAAAATGGTCCACTGCTTTTATCTGAACAGTTTTCGCCACGTTTGACAAACTGGGCAGTATACTATAACGCCACCTGGAGGAAAATATGATCGTCTCTGTTGCAATTATAAGTACCTATCACATTATGATATCAACATACTACATGTATCCGTATATGACATCTACGTCTTTGTATGTCCACATATGAATCTACAGTGTATGTACAGGTGTATGTAACGTACTTTTCCCGGCACACCGGTTTATTTGGACTTCTTAAGGAGGACGATTTTTTCTGAGGACATACTGTACACCAGTGACAAGGCAGAAAAGCTGTCATGTACTTTTGTATACAGACAGATATATAACACATGGTGGAAACAATGACATGAAAACAGTCTACTGTCGCTGTACTGGGGGTAAATTAAGAAAGCCATTTAAAAATGGAAGTGCAAAAATGTTTGATACAGTATAATGTTTATGTTCTGTTACCCAATGCTTAACAGCAACATGATAACCTGTTCTCAATAAAGAAATACATGTGTTGTGGATATTAAAAAATGTAGTAAGCACAGGATTTGAGGCCCATGTAAATACTTACTAAATCACAACTAAAATATGCCAAACTGTGAATAGTGAAAGTGAGCAAAAATCTAATAAGGTTGGTTTTTAAACGTTAGAACTACATCTGTGTTTCAGTCTAGAAAGAGCAACTTAATTACGATTGAGGTAAGCTTATCTGTTGACTGTGTGTAATTGAAGTGAATTTTTGAGAAAAGTGAAACCGAACTTAAAATACTGGCAAATTCCATGGATAAGTCAATGGAAGTCCAACATTTGTGACATTTGTACAACTGGAATCCAATGTTTGTGACATTTGTACAACTGAAATCCAATGTTTGTGACATTTGTACAACTGAAATCTAGTCCAAAGTTTGTGAAATGTATACCACTTAAGCTTAACAAAAAAAACAAGTTAATCTGGTATGTGTAATTGAAGTGTTTTTTCTTTCATAATTTATTTGAGAAAGATGAAAACTACAGTATTAGAGAGTGGATACCGCCTCTGGGTATTGTATCACCGGCTGGAGAAAGCGAATTCCTATAGAAACTAAAAAGGGAGACCACCTCCAGTGTTTTGCTTGACAAACTTTACAAAATGCAGTAAACAAGAGTTCTCAATTTTTTGAAGAATATTTTAACAAAATTGTGGGGAGAAGTAAAAGTTTTAGTAAAAGCTTTTAGTAGGCAGGACAGACGCTTAAGCCAGCTAAGCTGACGGTAATCTAGTGAGACTCCCCACAGACAGGAAGTATCATTTCACCAAGAAGCCACCCGCTGTATGGAAAAGGTCACCTGGAAAAAGAACAATATATAATTTGAAAAAAAAAAAAAATGAAAATTAAATTTAAAAAAGTGACAAATTTCCCAGACTAAAATAGTTAAACATTAATAATTTTGATAAAGTTAAGATTAACTGTTGTCTATGTCTAATTAAAAAGATTTTTTAGGACAATATATTTTAGAAGACTGAAAATTACATTGGGGGCAAATTCCATGACATAAAATAGTTAAACCTGAAAAATTTTGACAAATCTTTTCCATTATTCGTCAAATTTGGACAAATGATGTCTAACATCAATAAATATCTGTGATAAGCTCATCAGTTGACTTTGTCCAATGAAAAACATTTTATCGGACAATATATTTTAGAAAACTGAAAATTACACTGAAAAGACTGGCAAATTCCATGCCATAAAACACTTAAATGTTAATAATTTTGACAAATCTTTTTCAATATTTAACAACATATAATTCAGTCTCACATGAAACAGCAAATGTTATGATTTGTGTTTGTTTGTGTTAGAGGTGGCAAATTACCCATAACTGTCATCTGGAAAACAATATATACCATTCAAGACTTCTCCTTACTACCAATACCACATGCAGATTCCTCCTTACAGTGGGTTTCTGGAATCAGGATTAGGGCACCATTTGACAATGTCCTTAATCTTGCCACATACCATCTATTGTACACAAGGATGAGACATAACGCTGCTCTAGCTGCTGTCTTTCACTGCCTGCTTTTTCTATAGGAATTAGCCATGACCATACAGGAAGTATCAGTTCACCAAGAACCCACCCGTTGTACGGAAAGGGTCACCTGGAAAAAGACGAATATATAATTTGAAAGTTAAATTAAATTTTAAAAAGTGACTTTGTTTAGAATAGTTAAATGATGATAATTTTGACAAATCTAGTCCAATATTTGTCAAATTTGGACAA